ACCAGGAAGGACCCAAAAAGACTCAGATGTGTTTTTTTTTTTTGTCCACTGACAGCTTGGATCAGATGTTGTCTGTTTTTTGTTGTCTAGGAAGACTCTCTCCCCCCTCTCCCCCTCCCCCTCCCTGTGGCACCCCCCACACCCCCCCATTACGACAAAATAAAACCCATCTCTACTCATTGTATCTCTACTCATTGCTAAACGTCCACAAGTGCTCTCTTTTTTTTTAGGCAGGAGGGGGAACAGAAGCAGCAAAGGAGATTTTTTTTTTTATTTACACACCCCCCGGAGGAGGAACACGAAAAACACGTCACAGCATGAAGAGCCAGGGCTGCAAGCAGAGAGGAGTCAATTGGATCAGGACTGCGAGAAGGAGCAAGAGGAAGACAGAGGAATGCCCATCTGTATGAGAGCAGTGGCGGAGTTTGGAAGCCGCAGGGCAGAGGGCGGAAGCATGAAAGAGAGAAGAGGTAGAAGAGCTGTGGCAGTTTTACTACAGAGGGAGGGGGGATAAAGAGAAGAGGATGGTCTTATTCAAAGCACATGTTTGTGTGCCAGTAGGCATGATCCTCGGAGCGGGAAACACTGATGATGAGAGAGAAGGGGGGGAAAGACTGAAGCGAGGGAAGTTGTGAGGAGTCAGGGACCAACCCACGTCTGAGCTGGAGGTTCAAGGACTAGTGGTGGGAAGATGAGGAAGTTCCCTTTAGGTGGCTTCTATTTCATCATAACTCATGTAACAAGGTCATCAGCTAAGTCAGGGGTTGGGGTGTTGAGGAAATATCTGTCTGAGATTGGGAAGGAAGAGTTACTAAAGGAATAGAGTAGGCCAGCTGGTCTGTGCTGAGTGCACAGCTGAGATCTGTGGTCGTGCGCTCAACCACACAGCCGTGCTTAAGTGCGGACGGGTAGTGGGTCAACCGGGTTTGGGGCTCTCCAGCCAGGCACGATGGAGAGAGATGCAAGGGAGTTGTGGCAAGTGTGTGTGGGAGAGTGATGAGGATGATGGCCACAGGACCTCCGCTGCTGGGTAAGTCGGGGAGTGCAGGCAGGAGCGCGACAGAAAGTGAAAACATAACACCAATGGCCCCAATGAGACAGGAATTACTGAAGCAGGGGCGCTAGGGAGGAGTGGGGGGCAGAGAGTGGGGCGTCAAGAACTCTGGTTACAGAAACGCCTACTGAGAAACCCGTGCCTCCCAGTGTGGGTGTCAGTGAGGAGGGGCGCCCACCTGTGTGGAAAGGCAGGAATCTCATTCCCTCAGGGCTTGTTCAGATGAGGGAGGAGGAAGGAAGGGGAGATGAGGAAGGAGAGACAGAGTTATGGCAGGTTTACTACAGAGAGAGGGGAATGAAAGTTCTATTTAAAGAGTGCGTGTTTGTGCACCAATAGAAATGATCCTCTGAGTGGGAAAAACTGAAGTGCAGGAGCCGTGAGAAGTCGGGGACCAACCACACCTGAGCTGGAGGTCGAGGTCTCCTGGAGGGCAGTGAGAGTCTGCGCTGGGCCAGACCTGCACAGGCACTGAGGCTTCGATGGGGCAAGGTGAACAGGCTCCTGACCCCAACCCGCTAGCATCGGTGCTCAGGGCACTTTTGTCCTGAGAGCAAGTTTTGGCCAAAAGCACACACAAAATAAATGTAACAGCCCTTCAGTCACACTAATAAACAAACCACATTCCTCGGAGTTGGTACCCACATTATTAAATCCCGTATTTGGATGGGCACGATGTGCAGAATTCCCTAAAATCAAGTCTGTCCTCATACAAAAATGATTTGCCACCATCAAAGCTACTCAAAAACATATCCTTTGAGGTAAAAAGCAATTCCAAAAAATAAAAATTAAAATGTTCCAAGTGATTCCAATACGAAACAAGTTGGTGGGAACCTCTTTGGAGGGGACAAATTCACTGCTATGTCCTCTTCTCTACTTAATCCTTTCGTGGTGATTTCTTCACATCCGAATGCTTTCAATACCATCCCAAATGTACATTCCCCAAACCAAGACCTCCAAATGCTGGACTCGGACATCCAACCAACTGCCTGCATGACGTCTCCCTGTGGACATCTAATCGGCCCCGACATGTCCGCCTCACGCACACACAGTCTGATCCTTCCCATCTTCTCTGTATCAGGCAATGACAACCCTATTTGTCCTGTTACCCAGGCCAAGAACCTGGTAGTCACCCTCTTTCCCTTGTACCCCACATCCAATCTATTGGCTCTACCTTTAAAATAGGACTGAATCCAATAGTTCTCATTGCATCCTCTGCTAACACCTGGTCAAGCTGTGACCATCTCTCAGCTGCCAGGCCTAGCCCGGCCACCTCAGGTCCCTCTCTGACTCTGTGTGCTACCTCTCCTCCTCACCCTGCCTCTGGGCTCATGGGCTCCTTCCTGCTCCCCAGACAACCAAGCAGGTTTATCTTGGGTCCTCTGCTGGTACCCACCTCTCTACTGGAACATCCTTTCCCCAAATATCCACACAGCTCACTCTCGGATGGTTCTGGCCACCTAGAGGAACAAGCCTGTCACCCACCCTGCTTTGTCTTCACAGCGCATCGTGGACATGTTTCAATACACACTGTTCCTTATTTTCCTGACTGTCTGACTCCCCAACTAGAAAGCAAGCTTCAAGGGTCTTTGCTTCTTTCACTGTCTCACCCCTAACAGCCACAACAATGAATGAATGAATCTTTAAAAGAACCAGTTACCTTGTTTTATGGTTCTACTTTATATAAATGCCTGTCCCTTCTCCCTGTCTAACTGACTTCTTCCTTTAAGATGTCTCCTTTCCACATTCATGGGAGCAGCAGCCGGGGTCCCCATCTCCCAAAATAAAGACCAGCACTTTATCAAGCTGCAGCCCCTCATGCATTTTCTGCTCCCTCCTTCCCTTTCACTAGTCATTCAGGGCATCCTCACAAAGGAACTGTCTTTGTTCAACAGTCCTGAACTGGCTTCCAGAGTCATTCTTTGTTTTATCAGTAAGCCTCGGTTACCATGGAAATGATGGCCTCCAAAATGCAGCACACACTCCTTGCTGATAAGACAAGGGCTCTTGAAGCCTCTGAGAACTGAATTCACCCCTTTGGCTTCTCTCATTAAAATTAAAAACTTAAAAGAAAATCAATATACCATCATAGAGTATGAATAGTAAGAATGAAAAATATTGCCCACAATCCTTCACTGTAGCACAATTTCTATCATTTTTATATATTTTTAAAAAATATATATTTTATTGATTTTTTACAGAGAGGAAGGGAGAGGATAGAGAGTTAGAAACATCAATGAGAGAGAAAAATCGATCAGCTGCCTCCCGCACACCCCCCACTGGGGATGTGTCCGCAATCAAGGTACATGCCCCCGACCGGAATCGAATCTGGGACACTTAAGTCCGCAGGCCAAAGCTCTATCCACTGAGACAAACTGGTTAGGGCCAGTTTTATATTTTTTTACATAAAAACATAATTTTGCAGTTGAATACAGTATATTCAACAATTTTGTATTTTGCTTTTTTTTTTACTTCTCATCCTAACTTTTTTTCATGTTGCTGCCCAGGTTCCTAACTACACTTAATGGTTACAGAATATTCTATCAAGTGGTTGGACCATAACTTAACTAACCATACTGCTGCAGTTACTATTTCTAGTTTTCTATTACTATCAAAAACAAAGCAGCCCGGCCGGGCGTGGCTCAGTGGTTGAGCATCGACCTATGAACCAAGAAGTCACGGTTCGACCCCTGGTCAGGGCACATGCTCAGATTGCAGGCTTCATCCCCAGTGGGGACTGTGCAGGAGGCAGCCGATCGATGATTCTCTCTCATCACTTATGCTTCTAGCTCTCTTTCCCTCTCCCTTCTTCTCTGAAATCAATAAAAATATATTATAAACAACCACAAAAACAAAGCAAAGCACTTCTCTAAGCATTTAGCTTTTCTCCTTCCACCAGATTGTTTTATTAGATGTGCAGTTACTGGGCTCACGATGCCAAGTTGCTTTCCCAAAGGGCCACCCATCAACACCGCCATGGTAACACAGAGGTTAATCAGGAACTCACTCTCTTCACGGCTCCCTCCCCAACACGCTTCAGCTGCCTCACTTCTGTCCTCAGCTCCTCACAGGACAGCCATGCTGAGCAGTTGTTCATCTGTCCCATTCTGAAGTGACCATAGGGACAGTGCTGGGGGTCCAGGGCGGAACGCCGGGGGGCGATGAAGAAGCGATCGAGGCAGAGGTAGAGGAGCCCGTTCATGACAGCCATGGCCAGCAGCAGCCCCACGACTGGGGGCACTTCCCTGTGGGGGGGACTCCTTCTACCATCCTGCGGCTTCATCTCCATGTTGTTATCCTCTGTAATTTCCTGAAACGTAAGATAAAACAAGTAATAATGGCTGTCTTTTATTTTCAGTAAGGTGTTTTGATGATGAGGGACTGCAGGTGGCATACCCTCTAGGCCTCTTATACGCAAGGATCCTGCACTTTGGTGTCATTGTGAGGATGAAAGAAGGGACTGACTGAATGCTCAGTGTCAGCTGCTCTCATAGTCAGGATTTTTTATTACAAACCACAGTCTGGGCTCCTCTATTATAGATTCAACTAGAAAGGGAGGTGTTAGTGTGCGTCCGATTTTGTCTGGCTCTCCCACCGTGTCTGCACCGAGTTGATATTCAATGACGAGTTAGTCAAACGAAAGCAGCA